TCACCACCTACTGACTGATGCCAAAACCCCCTTCTTCCTTCTCTCTCTACTTTATACTCTTACCATGATGTTGTAGGGTCTGGAATATCCCTTTGGTCAGTCTGGGTCCCCTGTCCTGGCTGTGCCACCTCCCAAGCACCCCCAGCTTCCTCAGCAGCCTGGCAGAGTGAAAAGCAGCAAAGGCCTTGGCTCTGTGTGAGCCCTGCTCAGCAATAACAAAAACATCTCTGTAAAATCAACCCTGTGCTCAGCACAATTCCAAAACACAGCCCCACACCAGCCACTGGGAAAACATTAACTCTACCCCAGCTGAAACCAGCACAAGGGGACATGCACCAAAGTGCTCTTTTTATTTTCCTGAGGGGTTTAACTCCTTTTGAACACCTCAGGCCAGAGCCTGTGTGACAGGGTGACATCCTCCACCCTCCATCCGTGCTTGGGAAGTGCTGGGTGGAGAGGGCTCCCAACGTGAGCAGTGGTGGAGGATGCTCAGGATCCCAAAACATGGGAAAACACAAGGAAATGCCTTCGTGTCTGCTCCTTTCCCTGTGGCACAACCTGGGCTTTGCCAGCACCACTTCACATCACCCTCACTGGTCCCTGTGCTGGACTGCCCAGCAGTGTCCCCTGCCCTGGAGATTTTCCTTTCCCAGCTGCTCCCCACTCCTGCATGGTCAGGGAATCATAGAAATACAGAATATCCTGCCCTGGGAGGGATCCACAAGGATCACTGATTTCCAGTGAACCTCACCTTTGACTTCAGGTTGGCTCACGGAGCAAAATTCCCTTGAATGCTCATCCTGGCTCCTGTTGTGGAGGTTCCAGTGGCAGCTGCTGGCAGGGGGTGATGCCTGCTCACGGCTGCTTTCACTCCAAGGAGGTATTTTAAAAACAAGTGCATCATTAGTGAGTTCCCTTGGGTTTCAACCCATCCAAATTTGAGCATATTTGTTGTTGACTATTCCACTGGTTTCACAGAGAAGCTATTCCTTCTTCCACAAGATATCACCCTTAGGGGCTGCTTTCCTTTTTTCCCCTGATTTCATCCAATTACTTAGCTGTGTGCTCTTCAGAAGCCCCATAAATAATTCTCCTCCCTCTACTGTGTTTACCAGCGTGTCTCATGAAATCCGGTAAGATATGATTGATTGCAATCATTATTTCCTAGTGCTGCTATGAAAACCTCTGTCAGTTCAGTGATTGCCTGGAAAGCGTGGCTGCCACTCAGGAAAACTGTCAAAACCTTTCATACTTTAACAAACTCCAATTAATCTGTCGGTTGGGTTTACTTGTATTTGCTGTCCCATCATTGCTGATTATCAGGGGAAATTAGAATATTTTTCCTTTCTAATTAGCAGCTTGGTGGCTTTGTTTTTTTTTTTAAAGGAAGTGGTTTTCATCACTGTTTAATTTTTCAGAGCTGTTTTACTGGGTTTTTGTGCTGTTAAGGTGGGTTTGGGTTTATCCTGGCTGCCTGCTGTGCTGTGGGTAAAGTCTCCTTGGGGATCTTCATCTCTGGCTTTAGGGAGAAGCCTGAGGTCCTGGGCAGGATCTCCTCCATGCTCTGGATCCCCGTGCCTGGCTCAGGCAGCTGAGCAGCCCTGGGTGGGAGTCTGAGCCTCTGTTTCAGGTTAACAAATTAATCCTGGCTCTTGCATTTTTAAAAGAGTCGCTTCAGCACTTTCCCTCCTTTCTTCTGGTTTTAATGAGACACACTTTCCAAGAGATGTAATAATCATTGCCAAAAATGTCAGGTTGTTGTTAGCTTCCTTAAGCTGTGGAAAAACAACAACAACAACAACAAAGCCCAGGAACAGAAAGAGAGAGGTGTTGATGTGGAAAAGCTTCGACTTCATCTCCGAGTGCCAGGGGAGGGCTGGGGGAGATGTGTCCTGTTTCCTGGCAGGCTGCCCCAAAAGGGAAAGCTGGGATTTTTTTTAAATTACTATTTTTAGCTAATATTTGGGATTTTTAAATTTCTTTATTTGAGAAGGAATATCTCAGCTCACTGCTGACAGCAGAGCTCAGAGGTTTTGTTGGAAAGCATCTTGCAATGGCTGGAAACCAGCTGGGAATTGGATGGTGGCAGTGACAGGAGGGGAGATCTCAGGGAAATTTGGGGAAGCCACTGGGAATGTCAGGGGCCAGGCTGGTGGTGGGGTGCAGAGCTGGAGCTTGTGCCTCCAGTTACTGCTGGCTTCTCTGGGATCCACAGGGAAATGGATTTGTGCCCTGGTGGGAATATCCTCATCCCTCATCAGTGATTGGGGAGCAGAGCTGTCTTGTTAGCTGTGCTTCTGTGATGAAATCTTGGAGCAGGTGTCCTTACCTGGACTCACCATCTCCAGGATTTCCTGCCAGGAAATCTCCATCTCCATCATCTCCATCTCCATCTCCATCTCCATCTCCATCTCCATCTCCATCTCCATCACCTTCCCAGGCACAATCCTTGTGTCTTCCTAGCAAACCATCACAACCTGACCTCCCCAAACTAGCTGGGATCCAAATCCCCAGGCCAGGATGGATTCCACCCATGGGAATCTGGTGGTTGTGGTTTCAGCTTTTCTGGCCAGCTGTAGGGGTTGGGTCAGGTCCTTTTCCTGACTCCAGCCTCACCCACTGCAGCACAGGAGCATCCAGGAGGGATCAGTAACCACTGCCTTGCTCAAAAACTGAGTTTAAGGTCCAAGCCCTGCCCTACTGGCCATGCTGGCATGTCAGAACAGGAGCAAATTCTGAGTAGAAATCCTCATTTGGGGGATGGTCAGTCCTGGGATGGACAGAGAGTGCTGGGGGCTGCAACCCATGAACACAGCCCAGCTGTGGGAGGGATGTTACTGGAATGGGCTCAGTCTATGGACAGTGGATTTTCTGATTTAAGTGGATTTTTCTGATTTAAGGTCATGTCAGAGCTATTTCCCTTGGCTGTGCCTTTTCCTCATTTCTCAGCTGTGTTTGGGGCAGCCCTTGTCAAAACGGAGCTCCAGCTTCCAAGATTCCATTTTTTTACCCCCATAGCATCTTTTAATTGCAGGTTCATTAGCGCTGCTGCTGTTCAGTGGGACAGGCTGTGACTTTTCTATCACCCAGGGGACAGGGTGATCTTCCTGGTGGGATGGACAGATGGCTCCTGTGTTCCCAAACCCACCCAGGAAGGTCTGAGGCTGCACAAGACCTTCGAGCAGAAGTCACTGATTTCTTACCATGGAACTGAGGGAATGTTTGGGGAATAGCCCAGTTTCAATCTCCATGAATGGTGGTTTGTCCTCTTTTTTTGAGGAATCGCTTTTGCTCTCAATGTTTCTTCTGTTTTGTTAGATAGCGTCAGGAAAAATAATGTGCTGCTGATAATCTCAGCCAAGTGTGGAAGGCAGCCTTTGGCGAGCTCTGGCTGGCCCAGTGTCAGCTCCTTGCAGGGGTTAAGGGCTGGCTCATAACCCTGTGTTGGTGTGCTGTGCAGCTGACAGAGCTGCAGTGATCCGAGGTGATCCCAGAGCCCTGGGCTGAGAGCCTGGCACAGGAGCGTGGGGCTGCAGCTCCAGTGCAGCCTTCCCTGGGAAGCAGCTCCTGGGAGCTGTGGCTGAAGAGTGGGTGGGTGAATTCCTGGGCACTGGGGATGGAGCTGTGCAGCAGCAGGAGCTGTCACTGTGCCCCTGATCCCACCGTGGCCATACCCTGCTCCCATCTGAGCACCCAAACCACCCAGACCCCACACTGAGGCCTCTGTGCTGTTTCATGTGCTCAGTCAGCTCAGAAGCCCGTGCCAGGGCTGTCCCTGGCACTCAATGCCATTGGGATTCCCTGATCCATCCCAGTGCCCTGGCTGTGCCAGGGTAGGGCATCCCAAATTCCATCTGGCATTGCAAGACTGGTTGTGCATCTGTTTGAAGGTGCATGAGGTGTCCCTAAGTCCTGATGGCCACCCTATGGCCATCTTATGGCTACCCAGGACATCCAGCAGCCCCTCACCTTCCTGGTGCTGCCCCCCTGGCTCCTGCTGCTCCCTAAATTAAATATGTGCTGCCTCTTGGAAAGCACATGTGAGTGGAACGGCAGAGATAAGCTAAACGGAAGAGGTTCAGGGGATTATGCACTGATTAAGTTATTACCAACGTGAAATGAGCCGAGCTGAGATGAAACAGGAGCTTTATTTTCTGTTCCCTGGCTCTGGGCTCAGGCTGCCTGTCACTAGATGGCAAATCAGGCTGGGAGCTCCAGGATCCCCCTGTGCTTTCCATGTGGCAGCAGGTCAGTGCTGTGCTAACCCATAGGAAACTGTGTTAAATAGAGCTGGGAACTGGGGGCCTTCCCTGCTGGGAGGGGGTTGAGATGCAGCACTCGAGCTATTTCCAGTGCGGGGTCACTCACCCCATTGCAGATCTGGGCAGAAAATTTCTTCTTTTCTGTAACAGGAAAATCTGGTGCTGCTGGGAGGATGTGTTGGGGGAAGACCACATGTTTGATTAGCTTCCCATGCTTTTCCTTAAGCATCCCCTGCAGGCTGCTCTCAAAGGCAGGATGCTGGGCTAGGTGGAGAGTGAAAAATAGAAGTGCCAAATGAAAGGCTGTTTGGGTGGTGCGTGGGAATAAAGTCAGTTAGTTTGCCATAAGCCCTTGGGGCAGGCTGGATCAGGTGGATAAGTCAAGAGTTCATGCCTGGTGAGGGGGCTGGATCCAGGCCTGAGATAACCACTGGCTATCCCGAGCTGGAGCTGGGTTTGGGCAGGGATTTACCCTGCTTGGGCAGGAGGGTGGGACTGTGGGGCAGAGCCAGGGAGGGGACACTGGGGACAGCAGGGCACAGAGATCGTCCCCACAGCACCGAGCCCAGCTGTGGGGCTGGGAGCACAGGGGCACGGGCAGCTCTGGGGCTGGAGCCGGGGCAGGGGGTGCCATGGGTGGGGTCTGTCAGTGCCACCCTGGCCATGTCTCTGTTCTCTGGCTCTGTCAGTGCCACCCTGTCCGTGTGTCTGAGCAGAGCTGCTCTCTGTGTGCTGCAGTGATGGGTGCTCTGGAGTCCCGAGGGCTGCTGCGGAGGATGAGCGACATGCTGGAGATGCTGATGAAGAGGATGGACATCCTGGCCAGGCTGGAGAACAGCACTGACTTCCACAAAGGGGATGAAGCACGATTCCCTCTGGACAGGTCAGTCAGACCCTGTGGAGCAGTGCTGGGAGTGGGAGTTGCAGGAGCAGAATGCCCCAATGTGCTGAGCTGCTCTGGGGGGAGTGGAGGGGCCCAACGGGACACGGGGCTGGGGAAGATCTTTTTTAGTCTCATTTGCCATGTTTGGAACCTTTTATTTTGGGATTTCTGAACTGAATGTGATTTTTAGGATTAGTGGTCACAGCCCCCTGCTTGCCAGAGCTCAAGAAGCATTTGCACTACACTCTCAGGCACACTGTGTGATTTTTGGGGCTGTCCTGTGCAGGGCCAGGAGCTGGACTCAGTGATCCTTGTGGGTCTCTTCTTATTTGGGATATTCTATGATTCCACGATTTCCTGAAGCAGCTGTCCCAGCTGGAAGTGTGGCAGTGTCTGCACCGAGGGCTGGGGCAGCACCTGGTGTGTGGGATGTGCTCCCTGAGCTCAGGACACTTCTCTGTGGAGCTGGTGGTTGTTTGGAATCCAGGGCTAGCCTTGGAGTTGAGCGAGATTTAAAATGTGCAGAAGGGCTTAAAATGATGCCCTGGCTCCCTGTGGTGCACATCTCAGCTGGCAGTGTGAGAGATGCCATCAGACCTTCCTGTTGTGGCACACTGATTCACTAAAGAGACATTTCCCTGTGCTCTGAGAGACTTTAAACATTCATTGATACTAATTTGAGTGTCAGGCCAAGAGCTGCACGAATGGTAACTGGTGGTGGAGGCGCAGAGATGAAAAACCACAGGGGCAGCACTTGGGACAAACTTGGCGGTGTGGAAAAGATGCCAGTGTGGATTTTGCTCAGGTGGAGCCTCGGGTGACACAGGAGAGGTGGATGGCAGGGGTGTGACATGCAGGGGTCACCCCTGCCCTGTTCTGTGCTGACAGCACAGGAGCTGTGGTGATCCTGCTGGATCCCACATAACATTCCCAGCTCCTGCCATCACTGTGCTTTTCCCTGTTCCCATCAGCATTTCCATCCCTCTCCTTCGCCTTCCTCACAAGCCTCTTTTGTGCCTGTAATGGAAAACAGAGTAAGTGAGCCTGTAATTAAAGGCTGAGCTCTGCCACAGTACCTGCACACCTGAGTTAGAGCTGCACAGGCAGCCGTGGAATGCGTGGTCCTGCCTTTTATGTAGCATCATTTCCAGAACTGAGAAAATATAATTTGCCTCAGCCATGGTAGGTGCTGGGGATTTTGTCATTCCGAGGCTGGCTGGTACCCAAGCGAATGAGATCAGCAATAATCCCAGAGAGGAGTGGACAGGACTATTACAGCCAGCCACTGGAAGGCACTTGCTCACATTTAATGATTTTCTTGGCCAATCTTGTGTTAAAAGAACCAGTAATTTCAGGTGATGGTTGTTTCTCTACACCAGCAGCCAAGAGATAAAAGCATTTCTGTGGGCTGGCAGCAATGGCTGCAGGTGGGGATTTGGTGTTTCAGATCTGCTGTGTGAGTGATGACTCCGGGGCCATTGCTTAGAGAGACCAGAGAGGGCGGGAGCTGATGGACCCAATCAAAAGAGCCTCAGGTTTTGTGTGTGTGCTCAGAGGGGCCTGAGTGGCTGAGATTACAGATGTCTTAATTTTCAGGAATGGAACGTCAGGGGCAATGAGTTTATCACCTTTTGTTCCTTAGAAACACCCTTAAAGAGAAATCAATTCTCTTCACTTGATTCTGCATCCAAACCCATCTGTGTCCTCCCCTTGTTCTCACCTGGCCTCTGAAGATCTGGTTCTGGTCACAGGGCAGAGATCTCCAGGTGAAGCAGCCACCATGAGGGAGTTTCTGGTGGTTGGGATTTTGCTGTGACAGTCCCTAATGAAGCTCTGGCAGCATTTTCCAAACCTGGGAAGCATTTCCCGAGTTCTCCCTTGCTTCCCTGCAGCCCTGGGTCTGGCTGAGGGCTGTGGCCACAGGGGATGTGGATGTGTTGGAAGTGTTACAGCTCTTCTGGGTCTCACAGGTTTGAGTGGCTCCAGCTCTGCTGCCACATATGCTGCCTCATCCAGGGTGACCTTTCTTGGCTTGTCCTGGTCCCTGCTGCCCTTTGAGGGGTGCATGAAGCAGCTGGAAGGGCACAGAGCTGCTCTGAGCAGAGCCTGGCTCTGTGCTGATTTCACAGCTTCGGGTGCCCTCTGGAGCTGGGCAGAGCATCCCAGGGGGAGTCCAAAGGGATTTGGTGTGGAACCCTGTGGAGTCTGAGTGCTGAGGTCCCTGTCCTTTGAGGATAGCCAGCTGCAGTGCTGGGGACCCCTGTGCTAGGGTGGGATTGGCACCTCCAGCAATTGGGGACCCAGCAGTGACTCCTGAACCCAGACCAGCCCCACAGACACAGCCGGGGGCTGCTCCCCCTTAGCATCCCAGGATTCCACAAGGGCTTGTCTCCTTCCCTCGCTGTCTCTGTCTCTTTGATCACCAGTGACCGACTTGAGGCTGTCAGGGGAAGATAATACAATTAAAGGGTGCTAATTTCAAAGGGATTTTAGTCTTCAAAGCGTCCCTGCTTGGCACGGCTGCTGCCTTCCCGCTCAGAGTGGGCTTTGCGGTTCCAGTTGCCCAAAAGTGGATTAATTCTTGTTTTTACAAAGTGCTCTCCTGCTTAAGGCTGGATCTCCAATGGAATCAGGAGGGCTGGGCTTTGCAGAGCCCCAGTTGAGAGGAAGGAGGTGAAGGCTTTGCTGAGCTTTATGGAATAACCTGTGAGCACTGGACCACTGCAGCAGAGGCTTGGGGGGGCTTTACCCCTTGGAAAGTGCAAGGACAATCTGTAAATACAGGGTGGAATTAACGGCCTGCCTTGGAAAGCCTCCCAGCTTTCCAAGCTGAATGTTGCTCCAAAATCTTTCTTGCTCCCTAAGGTCTGTCTGATCAAATATTCTACAGGTGCCTCCATTTCTAGCCCTCCAGCCCCTCACAATTCTTTAGATAAAACTCTCAGAAAACCCAAATGTCCCAGTCTAATTTTCTTCCCCTTAAAAGAGCTGCCCGAAGAATTTGTGGGATGTCACGCTGGGTAAGGACACAGGCTGCACCTGTGAACCCCAGGTGTTGCTGGATCCCTTCTCCAGCCCTGCCTGGGCTCCCTCCATCCTGTCCACACCCTGCAAGTGCTGGGAAGGGAAGGATGGATTCCCTAACGAGGGCGAGCAGCCTGCCAGTCAGCTGCGGGAAAATCAATACTGCTGTTAATTGAATGCAACCCTCGTAAATCATCCGAGGGGAAGGAAATTAGGAGTACTTATGGAAGCCTCCTGGAGAGCTGTTTACTGGGCAAGGGAAACATTAGTTTGCAGGGGAAGTGTTGATCTCTCTCTGAAAAGTGCTTGGGAGGGGAGGAGGGGTTCTGAAGTGCTGACCCAAGTTGGCACCATAACCCAGCAGTGCTGGGCTTTGGAGAAATCCTTTTCCAGGAGCTGGGCTGCCCCTGGCCACCTCATCCCACTGGGACGTGGCAGAGGGGAAGGCTGGGGTCTGCAGCACTGCTATCCCTGGTCATCCCTCTCCCCCACACGGTGGTTAGACTGCAAAGGGTGTTATTTGCTAACGACTGATTAATCTTCAAGCTTAATTACTGCCAAGGCTCAGTTAATTTCCACACACTTTAAGTATTTGTTCTTGTAATCATTACATGACTCCATATTCCCCCAGTAATTAAAAGTCTCGCAATATGACACTAAATGGATGATGTTCCTGCATCCTGCCAGCCTGGCTCTATTAATTCCTGAATTGTTGCTGCTGGTGAGCTGGCTGCAGTGGAATCGCTGCCAGATGCTGTGGTCTCCTGCTGCCCAGGTGAGCCTGGAGCAGTCTTGGACCCCTCTGTGCATTCCCTCCCCATCTCCTCGGCAAACCGAGGGGCTCGGTGGGGGCTGCAGCAAGGGGAGGGGGTGAGAGCTGCTCAGAGCAGCCCAGGTAGGTAAGACCCATCCTGTGGCCCAGCCTGGCTTTGCTGGGTGCTGTTCTGCTGAGCTGAGCTCTGCTGCAAGAGCAGGGGTGCAGCAGGAGCCTTCCTCCCCAGCACTCACCTTCCTCACTGGTCCCACAGCCTGGTCCGTCCTGGCAGAGGTGATGAGCTGCTTCTTCCAGCTCCTGAGGATGTCTCCAGCCTGGCCCTGGATGATTTCAGTGTTACTTGGAGGGGATGGGCACAGTGTGGGGACTCACTGCTGGTCTGGAGTCCCTGTTAGGATCAGGAGAGAATTCAGGCCAGGGCAGCTGAGAGAAATTGTTTTTCTCTGTCTAAGGCAGAGCAGGGAGGTGGCTGTGTGCTGCTAGCAGCTGAGCAGGGTCCATCCATGCATCCCACATTTCCAGAAGGGCTGTGGCCTCATGGAAGAGCCCAACATCCCAAATGGTGCTGGGCATCACCAGCATAGTGACAGAAGTGGTGCCAAGCTATGCCCAGGTCACTCACACCCTCCCCTCCCTCTCCCAGGCTTGCACCTCCCCCAGCACCTCCTGCTCACTTTGCTGAATCTAATTCAGGCTTTGCCTTCTGATTATTTTGTTTATTTAATTCTTTTCATTTATAATATTTAATTTTTTATTTTATATCATGCCAAAACATTGGCATACCAGGGACACTGGTGATGTGGGGCTGCCTTTACCCTACAGGGACAATCAGAGCCTGTTAACCTCCATCAGATTCCCTCATTTTGGAGCAGCTGGGAGCAAACAGAGGGATGGACCAGGGGCTTCCCAGCTTGGGGGGCATGGACATGATGGAGGGGGTAGTGGGCAGTGGAAACACAGGCTGCCAAAATGCTCCTGGTAAAATTAAACAGAGCATGAGCATCAAACACACAGCTGGCTGAGGAATGGATCTTGCCCCAGGGGTTCCTCTGCCCCAAAGATTCTGATCAAAACCATTGGTTTTGGTCTCAGTTTTAGGCAGGTTCCTCTTAGTCAAGACTGTGAGGCTGGCACTGCCTTCCCAGCTCACTGAAGGTGGTTTCTCCCACCTGCATCAGGCTACTCAAGCCTGTAGGCAAAT